CGCTCCGACATATGGGATTCGGCCGGAACATTCATGCATGGGTGGCGGCACTCTTCACAACTCCAACTGCCCATATCCGCATCAACGGAGCCTTGATTATCATTTCCCATCACCAATGGCACCCACCAGGGCTGTCCCCTGTCCACTCTCCTGTTTGCCCTCTCTCTCTCGAACCCTCTCTGGAGGCGATCAGATGGGATGGGGCCGCCTACGCGGACGATATGATGTTCTTCCTAGAGCAACCAAGGATCTCACTACCCAACTTGTTAGAAGCATTCAGGAGCTATAGTACGGTCTCTAATCTGAAGGTAAATCTGGACAAATCTGAGGCGATGTCACTCTCCCGAAGCAAAAGCCTGATCCCACCTCAGTGCACATTTCCCGGTTAAGCTGTGCACCACCAAACTCCGATACTTGGGTGTCTGGCTACCGGAGAACCTTACACATTTGTACCAACAAAATTACGCACCACTCCTAGCGACCCTGCAGGCAGACATGCGTCGGTGGACACCACAATACCTCACCTTGTTCGGCTGTATCAACGCAGTCAAGATGAACCTACTCCCTCGCTTGCTCTATCGCTTACAGATGGTCCCAGTCACCATACCGCACCCTCTCGACGGCGATTCGCTACTTCATATGAACCATTGACCAGCACGAATCCGAAGGTTAACGCTGGAGAGAACCAAAGGAGAGGGAGGTGCGGGACTATCGTCCATTCTGACATACTATCAAGCATCCCATCTACACCGTCTGGTCGACTGGCACACCAACCCAGAGGGCAAACAGTGGGCGCAGACGGAAATCCACCAAGCACAAGGGAAGATCCCAGCAATGCTCTGGTTAGGGGGATCTCATACCACGAGATTCGAATGGGCGACCCCTTGATTGACGTAACTCTCAGGACTTGGTGTGGGATAAGGTACTGCAGGCAGCTCACAACATCACCCAAACCCACTCACACCTATCACTAGCAATCCACGGGTAGCAGGGGGGCTGCCCCCTACTGCCTTAAAGAACATCCAGGAGTCTGACTGAATATACATGCATCAATGGTGCACGGACACGGGCCACAAACCAATTGCGGACCTGATGCCAGACCGGAGACCGATGGCGTTGGAGGAATTCCACTACCATCAGATAAAAAAATACCACGCCTCTATGTTGGGCAAACACCACCTCCACAGACCCCTACGGTACCTCGAACATTTATGCGCAGCCAGACAACCGCTTAGCCACGGGATCTCCAACCTATACACAACGCTCCTGACGACAGGAACTAAGACTCCACTGGGATTCACCGGAAAATGGGAAAGAGACACGGGGGAGACGCTCACTGACCAGGAATGGGACTAAATATTCATGCTGACACACAAAGGATCCATTAGCTCAAAATATCAAGAATGCAACTACAAAATCCTAACACACTGGTACAGGACCCCAGATGCCCTCAACCACATGCACGAATCAATCCCAAGTGAGTGCTGGAGGTGCGGAATGGAAACAGGCACAGGATTACACATTTGGTGGACTTGTCCACAGATCACCCCATATTGGTGAATGGTTAACCAGAAGATCAGAGAAATCACGACCACCGACCTACCACTCCAACCCCTGCCAATGCTACTAAACCACACACAAACACCACTGCAAAAAAAGTCTCACCATACACCTACTCACAGCCGCAAAAGCGCTGATATCCGTTCATTGGAAACGTGCGGCAGTGGGTGGACAGGGTGGAAAATATACATAGTATGGAGATGATGACAGCTTCCCTGCAGGGACGCTCGGATAAATGCGCTCTGACCTGGTATCCTTGGACCGAGTTTGTAGCCAGGGTTGCCGCACAGATAGGAACCCCTGGAGGAGAGGCTGGGGGAAGCACAGACCCCAGATCCACCCCTGCCAAGATGAACTAGACTCCACCCCCCCCCAACTTGACCTACCTACAATCCCCCAGAACATCACGGACTTGACAGCTCACAAAGTTGCTCCCCCAACTTCTATCATTCCTACCCAACCTACTAGACATATCACTACCCCTACACTCACCCTCCCTTACCCCTGACAGACAGGGTACAAAGACCCAGTACCAAACCAAAAGTAGTACGAAAGGATACCGCTCACACCGAGAGTAAAGGCTCTCCCAAGCGAAGCCATACCCTCATAAAGGACACGCTAACAATAGATATGATCAAACACCACCTATAAGGCAAGTAGGTTTCCCCAACCGAAATCTAACAGCTGTCACACATTAGGCTTAACCCAGATGAACAGCTATAGCCCTCTTACCGATCAATTGCACTCACCTGACTTTATTATCTTCTACCACACACAATATGAGGCTGCCGCAATCTCATCCTTTCAAATATATGATACCAAGTGTACACTACAAAAGACATTTGCAGCTCTCTAGTTAAATGTTAGTACCACACACTTGACGTTAAAAATATTGTTACTGTAATGACGTAGTTGAACCCAGTTGAAATGTAACACGTGACCTTGTCAAACTTTAATAAAACAAAAATAAAGAATGTCAAAAAAAATACACATGTGCATTGAATCAATTATTTTCTGATGGTTTTTTCAAGACACTGGACGTCCCCAAGCATAGTGAGAGGATCTCCTGCGTCGTTTCACACAGCTAAACTCTGTGAAACAGTTGGAAGCGCCTCTAGAAGCAGTCTTAACACTGCAATGATAACGTTGCTATTTCTCTAAAACTACAATGGTTTACATTGCAGGGTTAAGGGAATAGGGACACTGTACCCAAGCTACTTCAATAAGATGAAGTGATCTTGGTGCCTATAGTGTCCCTTTAAGAATATCTCAAAGACTCTCATGTTCAGAAAAAAACATAACTAAATTACCTTTATGTTATTATCATCCTTTGTTGTAACTTGAGAATAGCAATTTCAAAACTACTATTTGCATAGTAAAAACTCGATTTTAGGCATGTAAGTATAATGTAATGAAAGTGCAAAAAAAAAACAAACCTCCAAGACCATAAAGCTGTACCACATATAGAAGGTGACTAAAGGTTCAACTCATCTCTCACCAAGAAGAGGCTCCACCATTCAGGAGCCAATAATTCTGGTCTGTGAGATCTGATCTTATCTTAATGCCATGTCAAGCAGGTTTTACGGGGTAAACGGGGTATCCTATTCCTACACAGTAGTTCCACTGTACCAAATTACTGAAATTATGAGCCGCTCTGATCAGTTAAACTAGGTGCCCTTTGCATTATGGCAAAAATGTTTATGGTACTTAGAGAAACCCTTTAAAACTGAAATCTTGCTCACGAAATTCAAGATGTGTCATTAAAGGAAAATATAACAGATTTTCTCTGATTCCCTGATCCATTGAATCCATGATAGAAATCCTCAGTCTATTACTATAATCATAGGAATACCTTTTTTTGCAAGAATATTAGGCCTAACCGCTACAGTGATACATATGCCCAGTTTCAATTTTATTTAGGATAGAATCTACCCCTATGTCAGAAGCCATATATTGTAGTGGTAAACTTCTCATGTCAAAAAAAGCCTGTACTACTCTAGTTCATATTTTATTGGATACATTAATCAATGGCTTCTTATTGATCTTGTCTGGCGTCTTGAAGCTGAAATAGAGGCATCCGCTTTAATCTTTATGATTTAATCCTGGAACGCAGCCCAGTTTTCTGTTTCATTTTTTAAAAATTATTTTATTATTCCTTATCATTCGCCTCTTCTTATTTCATTAGTATCATTGCTTTTGAACAATTGGCACAATAGCTTTTAGCAGTTATAGGCATTTTAAGTGCACTGGAATGAACTCTCGGTGGTGGATTTTAGAATAAGTATTAGAATAAGATTAAAGAATTTAAAAACTTGTTATTAGAAACAGTTTATCAACAAAAGCGAAGAGATTGTTTCGTTTCAGAAACTTTCCGAAAGGTCTAGTTCAATGCAATGTGTTAAGTCTCGAGTGTGGGTGTTCACGCATAAATCTCACATCTGAGAATCTGCATTAATAAAAGGATTTGAAATATTAACCTAATATTTTATATAAATCGTAAAATGAAAGGATGTTAAAAAAAAACGAAAGCATGATTTAAAGTGTAAATGTACAAAAATTTTTTTCAAATATATTATTTATTCTGTTATCATACATACACCACATCAGAAATGGTTAAAGTTTGCACCCCAAATGTTTATAAACTACGTATTCCATGATATCATCTAAAACAAATTAATGTTATAAAATGCATTAATTAGGACAATCAGATTTAATCCGATTGCTAGCTCTTTTCTACTGCAACTGAAAAATATTTCATCCCCACTTCTTTCCGTTCTGTTACCCACTGACTGATGTTTTTCTGCAATTAATTATTATTATTACTATTCTTCTTCTCATTATTATTATTATTAACATTGACGTAGAGCCAATATTTTGTGCAAAACTTTACAATTTTCAGTGGGATAGCAAAAAAAGCAAAAAAGAGATACACAACAAATGTTTACAGAGACAGATGGTAAAGACGGTCCCGATCTTACAGTTTAGAGATGGTTTTTATATTGTTATAAACTAAAAAATTTATATATATATTAACTCAAATGATAAACAACCTTTGGCATATCTATAATATGTGCATTACTACATTTACAAAAAGGACAAAGCAGAACAAAACAGAGGGAAACAGGCGGAGCCTGGGACCGAACCCGACCAGACGCCATCTCTGTGGGCTCCCGCCTGTAATAAGCATTAACCGCCATAAAACAAGAAAACGAATCGAAACACGTCCACGCCACAACCACTCACCAACTCAGGGCACAGAGGGGAACAGGCGGATGCCCTTCTTCCAGCCCCCAAAGACCGGGAAGGCCAAACGCAAAATCAAGGCCTACTATCCGCCGACTCTCCGCTCCCTGGAGACACTCCTCGGAGATTACCGCGAATATTGCGACACGAGAGCCGAGGGGGAGAACATCGCAGCAACCACGGAAACCCCTTTAACCATGAAACGCCGCACGCAGAAAGGCCAGCAAAACTCACCGGCGGAGCAGCGCGATGTCGGGGAGATGCTGCGACGCCAGACACAACCCAAGATGGCCACTGAAGAGGCCCCCTTCGCGCCCATTCGGCCTACACAGCTGGCCCAAACTCCAGCAACACAAACAGAGGGGCCACTAAGTAATACACTCCCAGCCCTCACAGAAATAGTGGAACACAACTTAGCCACCAAACAAGACCTCCAACGTTGGATGCACGAGCTCCAAGACCTAATAGCCAAAGACATAGGCACTATAAAAGCGGAGGTGCGCCAAATTACAGGCAGAGTACACGCAGTAGAGGAGAGTGTAGCGACAATAGGCAACGAGATGACTCACCTTAAAGAAACGCTGTACACAATGCAAACAGCTCATCAGGCGCTAGAGGTGCAGGTCTCCACCCAAGGGGACCGCCTGCGTCGTAACCACATCAAGCTCCGAGGGGTGCCCGCGGCGATCACACAGGCTGAACAGCCTCATTTTCTAAGGAGGCTCCTAGCCACAATCCTGCCACCAGCAGCTGCCCGGAAAATCACACTGGAGTGCTCATACCGACTGCCAGCAGGACCCAACTCACCACCCACAGAAGCACGAGACATCATCCTATGCTGCGCCACGACACAGGATAGAATCACTATAATGAATGCGGTGAAAGGCAAGACACCCCTGGCATTCGAGAATGCACAACTGCTCTTCTTCCAAGACCTGACAAGAGCAACACTGCAATGGCGAAAAACGATGTACAACCTCACCAGCAGCCTGAGACAAGCGGGAATACAATACCGCTGGGGGGCACCCAGGATCATAAAGTTCACCCACAAAGGCAACACATATAGAGCCACGTCGGAGACTGAAATCCCTGCAATTCTAATCTCACTGGGACTCATGGACTTACACAAGAATGGAGCCACGGGTGCCTCGTCCCAAGTGGGAGATCCTGCCACGGCGAACTCATTCACACCTCGATCCCAGGGAGGCACGGATACAGCTTCTTGACAGGAACTGTACTACTCTGCCGGCCACAGCGGACACAGCTCCATTCGAGTTGGAAATGGAAGGAAGACGCCGATATGTTCATTATGTTAGAAGATACATCTGTTTCTTTATTGTTCTTTTTTTTTTTTTTTTACATGCCTTTATGTGTTTCTGTTGATGCATGCTCTCATACTCTGAGGCTCTGTCGGGTTCACCAGCCAACACATGGCCCACTCCACGACAATCCCCCCCCCCCCGCTGCCCCCTGGGTTAGGGGCACTCACCATCACGCAACAGAACCCCAGCATACCGCGAAAATTATTATTTTCTTTTTTTTTTAACACAGCGCAGCGACCCTTAGACGTCTAAAGGCACATACAGGTAAAAGCCGTCCCCCTCGTAACACACACCACAACAGCCAAGAGTAACAGCGCAACACACCAGGAGGCACAAAACAGCCCAGGGATGACATAACAGCGCAGGTAACAACTCGGTATATCAGAAGGGTAGCGCACGCTGACAGCCGCACCAAAACTGTAACGCAACCTGTTTAAAAAATTACAAAAAAAAAATGTTTGCAAACCAAGTGACAAGTCAAATAACCATACTTTTTTTTAGACAATCTATTTTTTATTTTATTTTATTTTTTTTTTATTTTTTTTTTTTTATTCAATTTGCTTTTATTGACATCATAACAATTGGCAATACAAAGTTATATGCATCAATACAGAAGGTGGCAAAAATAGTGTACATGTCAGTTATTGTTCATTTGGTATAAAGGTATCTTTAGTATTGATGTGAAGAGAGCAATTTTGCAAAGCAATAGCGAGCATCTGATTCCATTCCTACATTGCAACATCTTTCAGCATTGACAGTTTTCAAGAAGGAACTAGTCTTAGAAAAATAGAAAGAGAATATTTTCGCCATTCTCACAAGTTTTAGACATGAGAGCTATAGAGAACACTCAGATTCAGTCATTTTATGAATTGGTATGTTTGTGTTGGGAAGCAGATAAACTGCGATAAGGCAGAAACTTTAGTGCTCCTGCTGTGACCTTGTCTAGCCCTGCTTCCTGAGAGCGTCTCTACTGATCCGTTGGGGTGGGGGGTAGGGAGTGGTTGTCGAGTAGTGGGGCGTTTGGGGGTCGAGGGTCCGTCAGGTAGTTTTTGTCCTGTGTGCGCGTTTGTTGTGGGTGTCCCCTTTGCGCTAGTCGCTGTTCTTTGATGTGTGTGGGCGGTGGCTGTGTGTGTGTCATGCGTCGGGGTGTAGTCTTGTTGGGGTGTCCCTTCTGTGTTGGTGTCTTTCTGTGTCTGTTTGGGGATCCTATTAGTGTCGGGGGTGTATTGGTCGAGCGGGTGCTGTCCCGGGTTGTGAGGGTTGGGTGGGTTCTAGTATCGTGGTGTAGTGTACTTGGGTGTTGGGCGTTTGGACAGTCTTGTTGGGTTGGTTCATCCCTTGTCCGATATGTGTTGGTCATGGTGGGTCTTTGTGGGTGCTGTGGTGTATGGTCTGTCCTGTAAGGGAGGTGGCGTTTCTGCGGGTGTAGGGGGCATTCTCAAGGCAGCCTGTCGGCAGTTGGTCATGTATTTTAACGTGTGTTGTGGGGGGCGGGTGGGATGGGAGTGTAGGTTAATGGGGTGAGGGCATTGCGGGTGAGGGTAAGGTGCGGGAGGGTAGGGGATGGGGTGTCAGGTCCCGGGTCCCCACCTCAACCCCCCCCGCCTCCGGGGCAAGGGGCATCTCCGGCTCTGAGTGGTCGTCTTGGTTTGGTTGGGTCGGTGGTTCAGCTTCCGTATTGTCGTCCGTCTGTTCCGTCTGGACCGTCCCATCTGCCTCTGCTGTCAGGTATTGTGTGGTCCCCGTAATTGGTGCGGTGGAGGCGAGCCATTGGAGCCAGTGGTACCATGCATCATGGTAACGTTGTATGCGTCCCGTTGCGGAGTGGATGAGTTCCTCGATGCGTCTGATGTCTTCCACTCTCGTTATCCATTCTCTGATAGTCGGGGCCATGTGTTGTTTCCAGTGTCTCGGGATGAGGCTGCGGGCTGCGTTTATTAGGTGTGGGAGTGCTGTTTTTTTAAATTTGTTGATTGGGGTCTGTGTAAGTTGGAGCAGGTATGTGTCTGGTGAGAGTGGTAGGTTTGCTTCTGTTATGGTTGTGAGTATCTTGTGGATCTCTGCCCAAAAGGGCTGGATAAGGGGGCAGGACCACCATATGTGGAAGAGGGATCCCAGTTCTCTCCCGCATCTCCAGCATTCCGGGTCATTTGTGGGTTTCATCATGCTAAGTTTTTCCGGTGTCCTGTACCAGTGGGAGAGCATTTTATATCCTGTTTCTTGGAATTTGGTGGAGATGGAGGCTTTATGTGTGAGTGTAAACACCGTTGTCCATTGTTCCGTTGAAATTGAGTGTCCTAGATCCCTTTCCCAGTATTTTGTGAAGTAAGGGAGGGGTGCGTTAGTGGTGGTGGTGGTTTGCATGCGATATAGTAGCGATATCGCGTGTGGGGGGGGGTTCATGCATATGGTCTCGAATACAGAGAGTGCTCGCGTTGCCGAATTTAGGGTTGGTATGCTTCTCAGAAACCTTGTCAGTTGGTGATATCTAAAGCGTAGGAGCATATTGTGTGGGGTATTCGGGACCAGAGTGGTCAGGGGCGTGATTGTGCCTTGGTCATAGACGTCCTTCACTCTGCAGGGGGTCGGCAGGCCCAGGGCAGCCGTGTAGTGGGGGTCCGATGCAGGGGCAAATTTCGGGTTGTGAGATATGGGGCATAGTGGTGAGAGCTCCGGGGCTACGTCTGTGTGAGTCGCCAGTCTCCTCCAAACTGCCATTGTAGCGTTTAGGGTTGGGTGGTTCCGTGGCAGTTCCCCGGCCATGGATTTCGGTAGCCAGGGTAGAAGTGTCAGGGGTATCCGTGAGAAGCTGGCCTCTATGGGGATCCATAGCTTGTCTTTCGGGTCTTGTGTCCATTCTATCACTCGCTGGAGGTGTATAGCATGTCTATATTTTGTGATATCGGGTAGTCCCAGGCCTCCCTGTAGTTTGGGTCTGGTGAGGGTGGCGAAATTCAGCCTCGGCGTTTTGCGGGCCCAGACGTAGGCCATCAGTGTTTTACGGGTTTGTGTTAGGAAGGTTTTGGGAATGTGGATTGGTAGGGTTTGTAGGAGATACAAGATTCGGGGGAGGATATTCATTTTGAGGACACTGATCCTACCCAGCCACGTTATGTGCGGGAGTTGCCATGAGTCGAGGTCCTTCTGTATGCGGTCGAGGAGGGGTGGGAAGTTGATGCGGTAGGTGTCCGACACATCAGCCGACAGCCAGATCCCTAAGTATTTAATTCTTTCTTTGCACCAGTGAAAAGGGAACTCTGTTTGCAGTGTAGTTGTTAGTGCTAGGGGGCAGTTTACGTTGAGAATTTCAGATTTCGTAAAGTTAATTTTCAAGTTGGAGAGGGTGCCATATAGGTCAAATTGGTGCGTGAGCTTCCTAAGTGAGGTTGCCGGGTTGGTGATTGTGAAGAGGAGGTCGTCCGCGTATGCAGAGACCTTGGTGGCTCCCCAGCTACCCTCGATTCCAGTTATGCGGGGTTGGGCTCGAACTGCATTGAGGAATGGTTCTAAGCTGATGGCAAAGAGTAGGGGCGATAGGGGGCACCCTTGTCTAGTGCCGTTTCTGATCTCAAATGGGTCGGAGAGAATCCCATTAACCTGCACCCGGGCTGCTGGAGCGGTGTATAGGGCCCAAATGCGCGTCATCATGTGGGGTCCCAGTCCCAGGTGTTCCAGGGTGGACCTCAGGAAAGACCAGTCGACCCTGTCGAACGCCTTCTCCGCGTCGGTCGAGACTATCAGGGCGGGGGAGTGTCCTTCTCGGGCCGCGTAGAGAAGATTGAGTGTCTTGATAGTGTTGTCCCTGGCCTCCCGGCCCTCCACAAAGCCCACCTGATCAGGGTGGCAAATAACCATACTTTTATACTGTATACTAGTCCTCACTTCTGTCATTGTCATTGCAATGTTGACACACATCTTTAAAATAAAGAATTTAAAAAAAAAAAACAAAAAACAGAGGGAAACAAACAAAGGAGAAGAAAAAAAGTGTGTTTCTCAGAAGTGAAATTTATCCAGTTGGATCCAAAACATACTGACACCACGGGTTCCATAATTCCAATTGGATCCAAAACATACTGACACCACGGGTTCCATAATTCCAGTTGGATCCAAAACATACTGACACCACGGGTTCCATAATTCCAGTTGGATCCAAAACATACTGACACCACGGGTTCCATAATTCCAGTTGGATCCAAAACATACTGACACCACAGGTTCCATAATTCCAGTTGGATCCAAAACATACTGACACCACGGGTTCCATAATTCCAGTTGGATACAAAACATACTGACACCACGGGTTCCATAATCCCAGGTGGATCCAAAACATATTGAGACCAGGGGTTCCATAATTCCAGTTGGATCCAAACCATACTGACACCACGGGTTCAATAATTCCAGTTGGATCCAAAACATACTGACACCACGGGTTCCATAATCCCAGGTGGATCCAAAACATATTGAGACCAGGGGTTCCATAATTCCAGTTGGATCCAAACCATACTGACACCATGGGTTCAATAATTCCAGTTGGATCCAAAACATACTGACACCACAGGTTCCATAATCCCAGCTGGATCCAAAACATATTGACACCAGGGGTTCCATAATTCCAGTTGGATCCAAAACATGCTGACACCACGGGTTCCATAATTCCAGTTGGATCCAAAATATATTGACACCACGGGTTCGATAGTTTTCACAGACCCTGGGCAGTATGTTATACTAGGCCAATGGTTTATCGATTAACGTTATATGAGGGTATAAGGATATAAGAGGATCCCAATCAGTGCGCTCTGATGGCTTTCCATGCTACTGAGAGCAATTTAGAAAGAAGTAAGTTTCATCTATTAATTAGGTCCTTGGTTGGTAATGGACATCAGCAATACCCACTGCTCAGCCTTAATGAGTTTGAGAAAACCTCAGAAATCCCCCAGAAAGCACATTACATTTTTAGCAACTAGGAACAGAAGTGGGGATCAACATACATGATAAAAAATAACTATAATCTAGTGGGTCACCTAAAAATAAAAATATTTAATGAGTATTATATATATATATGGGCTGCTGCACATAACAGGGGGCAACTAAATAAGAAGAATAAAATAAAAAACAATGTGATAAATCATTAATAATTCATCTCTGCATATATAATACAGAATACAGAACACAGAATCCAGCGCACTTGCTTATTCACTAAACAATGATTTCAAATCTTAGATATTATAATAGTTTTATTAAACACCTCACCTAGGCAAAAAATTATGGGGGATTAGTTACATTATATGATCATATATTGCATAAGCCTGCCACAATGTCAATGTACCCCATTCTTGGCAGGTCCTATTCTAGCAGCCTAATGCTTGCTCTTATGAGATTAATCCACTTACTTGGGAAATACTTCCTTACTGGGACTCTCTGCAAGTCAAGGCTAAATAGGGTCCTGGAATGAGGCACCTGTGACAGGGAGGTGTGCGAAACCAAGGAGTTGGCCTGGACTCCCAAATATACAAACGAAACCAAGAGGGATGCACTTACCTGAACATGCATACATATATATATATATATATATATATATATATTTATTTATTTATTTATATATATATATATATATATATATATATATATATACTAAATATGTTTAGAATAGTGAAAATCACGAAAACACTAGAACCCCTCACAAAAACCCAAAATCATTAAAAAAAACCCTCTCCGGTAAAATCCCCAACTGTAGTGGGCTAGTAATAGAGGTAAGGTATCAAAGGGGTGTTAAAATAGAGATTAAAATATTTCTTCTTCAACTATTTGATTATAAATCATACATAATGTATACAAAATAACACACATAATACATTTTACAATGCTACATGATTCCCTATTGAGCTAATTGTATAATGTGTTCGTTTAGGCCCTGGAAAGATAGCGCAGCTAAGCAGACAAGGGCACATGTAGGAGTGTGGGGAGGGATGTGTAGGAGTGATTCGGGAAGAGTGTATAGGTGGGGTTAGGTTCTATGTGAGTTAGTGGGGGGGAGGTCTTACCCCAGCAAACAGCTTCCCTCCCGCCCGCCCGCCCCTTGTAGTTTTAGTTAGTCACAGCGAGCCGGAGGTATGTCCTTGCCAATTAAGTTTGAACGGTTATGTTTAAGGATGGAGTAAGTTTCAATATGTTTGCAGGTCGCAACCTCCCCTGCTTGAAAGGGTTAACATTAAGTTGCCTGAGGTGTCTTGCCCATCGAGCGTGGATAAGGTCGGCTGATGGCGGGCATTGGAAAGATATGATTTTATGATGAGGGGGGAGGTGAGAGGAAGTTAATTAGGAACAATGTATGTTAATTGGCAAGGACGGTTGGGTCACTGTATAACACTATGTGTTGAGTTATATGTATATATGTTAATTTATGCTTATTTATGTCTAACATTTTTGGTTACAGAAAAAGAAGAAAATTAATAAATAAAGTTATGGATGTATTATGCAGTAATTTATTTTGTTATAATAAATGCTGTGGCCTATTTCATCCATACTAAGTTGTCTGACGTTATTGGGGGGTTGAATGGGGTTAGTTATGTATTTTGCTGCATCGTAATTCCAAACGACGTACATACAAGCATCCCTGTAAACCAAAACATTATTTGTTAAATTAGTCCTGCTTTACTGGACTTGCTGGTTGTGAAGTGTGAAGCTCTAATTAATCAGTTGTTTCTAAATGACTGACCACGTAATTGTGACCAATGTGAACGGGATATGGCAAAGTCCTTACAAACAGGTCCAATTAGATATAGACAAAACACGTTGAAGCCCCTTCTGCAATATAAAACACCAGTGGTTAAAAAGGGGGGTAATTATAAAAATAAGTTACCCTATAAAATAGTAGATGTTTAGAATATTCCTCGAATTAGATATGTAGTTTTCTAGAGATTTTTAAATACTGTGCTTTTATATCCTTAGATCACAGTAAATATAAAGACTGAGTGGTCTTCAAAATCTACAAACTCCAAAAAGAACACACACCCCAAAAACCCTTAGAAAGAAGTAGACCAGGCATGGTATACCTCTATGTATACAAAAAAAATGTTCACGAATAACAAACTAACATGGAATGGAGCTTCTGGCCATGACTTCAGAGTGGGTCAAAGTAGTATAGTTTACAGGTGGTATGATACTTCCACTTCAAATAGCCAAACGTTCCTGGAATTCTAAATACTAATGATACATGTGAGATAGAAAGACAAAACATGTTTTGTTTGCCATAATTTATTTTGCGCCTCCACTATTGGATGGCGGTAGCAACTAATCCTGTCACACAGATACACAGTCTCCCTGAACATGCCTCCTAATACCTCCTAATGTCCCTAGGTATCTCCCTTGGCAGCGTTCCTCCCTTACCAGTAGAGCCTCTTGGTGTGTAACACCTTGGTCTTGGGCTCTCTCTGAGTGCCTCCCTGGTTCTTGGCTCTGTACACTGCATGTTCATCATGTTGGTTATCAGCTAGGCTTGCGAGATTGGAGAATTAAGAGATAGACACAATCAGAGGAGTCATTTTGTTGTAGCCAGCTGGGCAGCCTCTTGAATCACAGACAGATTATAGGTCAGGCTGCCAGCAATAAGGGAAATAGAAAGGTATGCCTGGGATGTAGACATACCTCTCAATTCCTGGCAGGTAACCATGGACCGCACTCAAGTATTTAGGAAGCCAGAAATAACCCGCAGGTTGGTACCCACACACTTAGACATATGTCATGCCTTGCATATCATGGGGCGAGCTTGCATAAAGTCACCCCGTCCATTTACCTAAGTCGTGTGTGTGGAGCAAGATTCTAGCTAGCAGCACACAGTATAGACTAGATCTATACCTACCAATATATTCACGCACATGATTATGGATAGTGGGTTCACACTAAAGAATAGTGCATATTTAATTAGTTCTATAGACAAATATGTAATATGCGATAGATCTATCTGGGGCTAAATAGAATGAAATTTTTTTTAATAAAATATTAAAAAATATCATTATTGCTTGTCAGTTTTATGACTGTAAGAAGCTCAATTAGGATAACACTTTTCTAGTCTTAGATGTATTATATCATTAAATATTTTTAGGGTGAGTTAATTAAATTATTAGCATTCATTTACTATCTTTATAGTATAATTTCAATCAGTGGCACATACCGCATTGTTTCCGGATAATTGGTATGTATAGCTAGGTTAACAAAACTAGCATTACACAGAATAGATAAATAAGTTGCTATACATAGATATACTGAATGCGATCAAAGCTTTCTACTATAATTATTTTATAATGTATCATGTATTATTGTATAATACAAGAAAAGAGTATAATATGAATGTTAAGAGGTCCAATTTCCCTGAAAATGTATTGAATGGACATTAACTTCTATTAACGTTAGTAAATAGAGGAGAGCTGGGCTGGCGTGAATAAAAGGATCTTGGGTAATTTATTTAATTCAGACATTTATACAATTACAGCTTTGTTGACTTCAAAATCTATCTGGAGTTGGTTGCACAAATTCAACATAGGAAACATATTTAATATTATTTTATTATTTGTCGTAATATTGTGCACTCTTATCTTTGCTATGTTTGTGCAGTTGTTGTTATCTGTCTGTCTATATGTCTGTCTGTCTGTCCATCTGTCCATCTGTCCCTGTCTCTCTGTCTGTCCATCTCTGTCTGTCCATCTCTGTCTGTCGCTTTGTATCACTTTTTCACCTAATAGTAGATTTATTTAAAAAAAATAGTTTTTTGAGAATTTAAATAGCACAGTTACATTTAGAAAAAGGCTGTTGTATGTCGATTTTTTTATTGTTAAATAAAACAATTTGCTTAAATCAAAAGCCAAGAACAATGCAAAATGTACACGTATTGATGCATCATTCGTTGACAAAAGACAGAGCAAGTCAATGGGATTTCCTATCTTGTGTGATGTCTAGATATGTCGGAAACCAATTAACTCTCAAACATTGGCTCTTCTAACATTAAAGGGGCAATCATGGAAAGTATTGTATGTTCTTGTTTTTACAATATTGTTAATTGTTTTTATATATTTCGCTAGGCAAAGGGTTAGTAAATTTGCAAATGTAAAATCATTTTAATCAGTGTAATTACAGGCACATGTCAAGTGTTATAACACAGAGCTGTTTGGCAAGCACAAGAAAATACACAAAGATGACTGTCGGAAATTAATGTGAGGCCACAGAAAATTATTAAGGATAGGCTACCGTAGTGCCTAGATCAATTCAAAAAATAGATTTACCTCTGTGCTGCTGTTACTCCAGCCCACTGGTGCTCACTCATGGGGTATAAATCATGAATAATGAAACACAAGAGAAGAAGGATGTCAAATGAATGTAGAGATTGGACACAGTCTGGACCCCCATATTTCAAAAAGATTTGGAAATTAGACTTGTGCACAGTCAAAAAAAATAGTTTCAGCCAAATTCCTTCTGTTGAAAATTTAATTATTTCAGCCAAATTTCTTTAATGAAGAGAAATTCAGGAAAAACTAACCAGACCAACCAAAAGGTGCTAAAATTGGCCACTTTGTATACTGCAAAATATATGTATTTATCAGTACATGGATAGTTGCATTTTCCACCATTCGGTTCACAGGTCAAGTGAGAAAAAGCAAC